TACTTGCCGAGTCTCTTCCTACTCCTCCTTCTACTACTCTTTCTTCTCTTTATCCTCTTTTTCTTATTCGCTTTAGGGAAAAGACAATTAATGGATAGATTCAATACGCAAAATTAGGAGGCGTACGCTTCCGAGAGGAATAAAGATAGGGTAAACGGGTGGACTTTTCGCAAATTGGTTTCGCGTGTTCAAGAGGCGGGTCGGGCCTCGCTCGTACATCGACCGGTGACCGTAGATAATTAATCCCAATTGAATTAATTAGATTCGCTCGGTGAAAATTAAGCTCCGTTCTCTTTCTCTTTCTCTTTCTCTTTCTCTCTGTCTTTCTGCTGGTATACGTGCCGGATATATATTCAAGCTTTTGTCACGAACTCGAAGCCTTAGTCTTGAGAATTCGTCTAACTGAAATTGTATTCTTCCAGTCTTCATTTCACTCCAATTTATATATCCTGTCTCTTTTCTCTTTACTCTTGCATTTATTACATTTTAATTTCTGTATACATATATATATATAATTTTACGCGTGTCCAGAAAATTGTCTTGACTCGGCCTTTGAAATATCGTAAAATAATCTTAAACACGTTAACGCTTTTTTTCTCCTTCTTTTTTTTTTTTTTGTTAAACGGCGATCCTCGCTCGATAACAATTCCTCGCGACGATTTTTCAAGCACGTTCGTGCATTATATTTTATTGCGCCTTTTAACCAATATATCTCAACCACTTGGGAGTCGATGTGGCGTGCGACGCGCGTGACGTCCTGGAAGATAACGCTTCGTCTTTTTCTTTCTTTTCTATTTCTTCCGTTTTCTACTATCTCTCTTTATTTTCCTTTTTCTTTTTTTTTCTACCATTGACTTCCTCCTCTTTTTTTCCTTCCTTCTCAACTATATCATGTATACACAGAGACTCATCTTTTTTATATATTTTTATTATTTTATTCTTAATCTTAACTTCTATGCGAGATTCTTTGCTTCCTGTTAGACCAGCACCACGTCTCGTCTTAGATAACTGTCCGGGAATATTATAAATTTTCAAAACAGTACACTGACCAGATAAGAACGGAATCTAAACGAGCTCACATTAACGCTACGGTACCGTCGAGTTTCTACCAAGTAGACCGAGGGTCCCCATAGTGATTGATAAGCTGATCCTTCCAGACGATAGCTAACCTTCTTGAGGGGAATGAAATTTAGGACACTCAAAGTACCACGATGTATTACTTTTGGTATACGATAGCAAACACGTCGAATTAAAACTTCTTTTTTTTCTTTTTCTTCTACTCATTAGTACAAATAAATTTCTCTAATCTTTCATTTAATTCTAACCATAGAAATAAACAACTTTTATCTTTGAGATATAAATTCGTATATCAAATGAAGATGACAAAAAGTCATATTGATTTCGAAAATGAACTTATTGTTCGTGTTATCGTTGGTAGTTTGCTTAGTAGATTCGATTGGAAGGAAAGACGAGAAGGAGTATTTTGTGGAACGTTCGCAGGAAGGCTGAACCTGCCATGGGAGTTAATTCGCCTGGGGTGCCAAGAGAAAGGGGACTACTATGATTCGGTACGCTACGAAGTTTTCTATTCGCGACGGTATCAGCCGTTGGGAATAGGAACGTCATGCGAACTGTCCCAATGCAATTAAGATAAGCACCGGCGATGTTTATAAATGTTTCGTTGAGCGCGCGTATTACGAGCAACACGCGACTCATACACTCTTACATTTACATTCTCCTATGATTTCACGAACGAAACAGAAAGACTACTACGAGGAAAGAAGCGAGGGAGTGGGTGCTTGAGAAGAGAATCGTGGCGCGTCTCTTCTATCCGAGAAAAAGCAAACAGTCGACGGCGTGACTACCCGCAGGCTACTGGTCCTTACAAACTTTTGGACGCCATTCTCCTTTTGCTTTCAACCCCTCTTTTTTCTCCTTTTCTTTACCCTTTCGCGACGAACAACCTGCGTGTGGTTGTTTAACTTGTGTCAGATTTCAAGTAATATTTTGCACACAACTACAAATTATAAAATAATAAATAATTTTTCTTTTCTTTTTTTCTATTCCTATGGTAGAATACCATTGAATTTGAGTAGAAAATTGCGAAGCAGTTTATATGACCGGTCATGGTAGGGTTTCGTGTTAAGGTAGACGTACGATTTGGTATTGCATGAAAAATTATGAGACCGTCTCTAGGGTCGGCTTCCACTATCATCGTCGTCGTCGTCGTCGTCGTCGGTGGTGGTAGTATCATCGTTCTCTCCTTATCCTACCCTTTCCATTTGTGCTTCCTCGCCTCATCGACGTAACTCCTTGCTAAGAAACTGCTGCCGGCATGACTCTGGCTGGCATCCTCCTGAAATTGCGTCTTCGAAGCCTCGCCCTGAGATTAAAACGTCTCGGATTTCACGAGGCGGAACATGGAACGACGACGAAGGCAAGCGATTTAAATTTCACACGGTAGAACGACGCGACGGTGAACGTGACGGAAACGGATGCTTGACTTTCTCCTAGCTATGGGTTATTCGCAATTTTTCTTTTCGATACGATCGAACCTTTACTTCTTTTTCCATTTTCTTTTTTCATCGTGTTCTCCTTCTTACATTAGATAAGCTTTCCTCTTTTATTTTAGTCTTCTTCCCATATCCAATAGTTTGCCCTAATCCACTTTAATTTAGGATACAAGTATTTTTAATTTTTAATGAAAATATATCACTGCTTCTACGAGACAAACGTTGCCGATGGATAATTCATTTCTGTTTAATATTTATTATTACAATTTATATCATTTTTATTCATTCATCAATTTTAAAAGAAACGTTGCTCAAATATTCTCGCTTATTTCATTCATAAATCATTCTGTTCGTGTTAGTTGATCATTTTTTCAATCAACCCATCAAATATGCTACTTTTTTCTCTATTCATTTTGCCCGTTTATTTCTACGAAAGTTACTGAATAATTAGGTAAGAGGAATGAGTAAGTCGTTCGTGATAATGTTACAAAACGTCTCGCACGTTTCTCGTTCATCGTGAGAGAGAGAGTAGGAGAGAGAGAGAGAGAGAGAGAGAGAGAAACTTGTCCAAGTGCACCCACGAGTCTTGTACCGCGCGTGCTTGCTTACATCCATCTCAGTGCGTTGAGATAGCGAAATGGCGATCAGATAGGATGGAGAGGCCCTTTGAATAAATCCTCAGACCGATAGGGAGGCGGTCCCAAGGGGTTTGCTCGACAATGCGATAGCCGATAATGGTCTGGTTCAAGCGCCGTCCAATTCTGAGGTTAATTACCATCGTTTTAACCCGTTGTCGTTTTCCTACTCGTATTGGAACCGAATTCCTTCTTAAAATTGGCCAAACTTTTGTGCTGAATTAATTTTATATCGATAATCAGAACGATATTACGTGCTGTAGTAGACAAAGTTTTCTTACTTTAGATTTTTTTCTTTACAAGTACGAGAAATATTAATTATTGTAATTAAGAGGTAATAGGTGGTTACAATAGTGGTAATAGCGAGTTGTAATTAAGAGAAAAATACAAAGTTATATATATCGAATGAGAGATAACAAGCTGAGTCTAACTAGTCCAAAGCTTGCGTGAGAAAGGCAATACGATGTACGGACAGGCTGTTTCCGTCGCAACCACGACGTTATTATCTTACCAAAATGATAACGCAAAGATTGAGTCTACTATCCGTACAATCGTACATCTTTCATGCTGTATATATACACTGTGATTCAGATACTCCACATTTAAAAACTTTGAATATGTTATATTTCTGGATAAAGACTGTCTCACGGCATTCATACTTTCAAGGAAATAAAATAATAGAACTATGTAAGCCGCGTTCAAATGAAATTCTCGATGGATCAAATATTTAGTTAAGTGGATCAAAATTTGTGCCACTTTTTCCTTTAGAACTGAAACTGTGCTCTGTGCTGTGCTGTGCTGTGCTGTGCTGTGCACCAATCGTCCTGCTCGATAACACGATAGCCGAAATAATTGAATTTACCTCGATTCAATATTGGGTTAGAGGTTGACTTGATTTCATCAAACGTTTTAGTCGTGTATTAGGACCCCTTCTTATTTCTATAATTCAAGGCACTCTAGCAGTGTTCGATACGCTTCAACGAACTCGCTTGGTCGTAGCAGAAAAGGAGGAAATATCCTTCTCTCTATGTCACAAAGTTTTCTTTTTCCTTGGACTTCCGTAAAGGAGAAGAAGACCATGAAAGAGAGAAAGATAGAGTAAGTGAGTTTATTTTCACGTGACACGCCCAAGCTTCGGTGAATTCAGTTCGGTCGAAACTGCGTGAGATGAGAACGTTTCCGTCGAATCGTTGAAGTAAATGGCACCGCCCCTTGCGTTACCAGCGATACACGTCCCTGGATGTTGTAAGAATTACGACGTAAAACTTGTTTTTCTGTTTTTTTTTTTTGCTTTCTTTTCTTTTTTCTTGTAATGCGTCCCGTGCCGGTAATTACGCAGCGAAAACTTTTTAACCGTCCCACCTATCTCTAATTACGTTAACACACTGATCCAAGTCACGTGATTCTTACATAAAGACGATTATGTTTGACCATCGAGCAGAGCAAGCAGCTGTGCCCACCATTACTCTACGATGATCATCTTTCGAAAAATCAGACTCCACCCTGAGTTTGCTCGAACAATTTCAACGTTCTAATTTTTATCCGCTCGGATCGACCAAATTGTAATTTCTACTTGCACGGGCATACCGTAGAGAATGAGTTTAGAAAATGGAATGGTGTTAGATAGAATCCGGGTATTTTTAGTCGTTCTAATTATATGCTTTTACCGCATCTTACGATAACGAATAGCACGAATAATGTAACGACCATTTTCGTGCCTATTTCAAGGATCGATTGAAACTTTGGAAAGCATAATACAACACAATGAAATGAAGTACAATCTGTAGAAATATTTTTGCACTATCTAACGATCGTTTATTTTCTTTTCAATTTGTTTGTTCTTTTCTTTCAGGGTGTGCATTTCTCACCTACTACAGCCGTGACAGCGCCATCAGTGCCCAGAACGCTCTACATGAGAAGCGGACTTTACCAGGGGTGAGTGATTAGTCATTCATGTACTTACAAAAGAATTCTAATTTTGTCCAAGTTACTTACATTCCTAAAGCCCAAAACTCAAAACCAATTTGGATATTATTTTTTCGATCTGCCACAAGCGGTAAAGTTAAAATAAAATATTCCAAGAAGTATCTGTCATCGGTGGTGCACCACTTACATTGCCATTAAGGGCACGTGTAAATTATGCATCGCGTAAGTTGGCATCGACCGATTAATATTTTTTTTTTCTTTCGTTAAAAGTGGGTTACGGATAAGAAGAAGAAATCTGAATTAACATCTTACATTAATCGCGATATAAATGATTCGCGAGACGATATTTCAAAGGAGGAATAAATCCGACACGGAAAATTTGTACTATTTATTATTATCAAGATTTGATCCGTATATGTAGATGCATCGATAAGTTTAATGTTAATTGACGAAAACTTGACGAATGTTAAGCACTCGAAAGAATTAGAAATAAATTTTAAAAGTAAAAAATTGCAAAAAGTAAAAAAAAAAGGTTAGATCTCGTTTCTCATTATTTCTCATTGCTCTCTAAGAGGATTATAAAGCAATGTAATATCTTGAGAAAATTTTTCTCTCTCCGGGACATATTTGTCGAGAAGAAAGTTAACCTCTTCGATGAGAGACGTTAACAGATACTTATCGTTGGAGCGCGCAGAGATCGCCGTATGGCGTTTCCCAGGATAATTCCGGCGATTCGTCGAGCGATCCGGAATATTAAAATGGCCTCGACGTGACAAGTTAATCTCTTAACGTCGAAAGGGTAGTTAGAGGCGCACTGGGGACGGAAAAAAGGACGATGAAGGAAGGAAGGAAGGAAGGAAAGAAARGAAAAGAAGAAAAAGGGTCATGCAGAGGGACGTTGATGGTAGTGGAAAAGGGCGGCGAAGGGTGGACCCAACCAAGCACACGATGTATCATCGGACTTTCCTTTCCCTCCAATTGTCTCTCCTTTTATTCCCAAGACTCCAACACAAATGCTAGTGCTGGCTATACTTATCCTTATTTCCCGGCGTCAAGGATCGCTTTTGTCTACACCTACAACGTGATAAGAATCTTCATTTTTACCTATAGCACCAAATTATATAGGAAGGATTTCATTAAACGAATAATATTACGATCCGAAATACGATATTGGATTAAGATTATTTTCTAATTATTATTTCTCGATATTGCATTCCATCTTTATGAAAATATACGGTTTCTTTGGATTCCGTAATTGATAGATGGTTATTCGATCATCCCAAAGTGAGTAGGTGTTTTTTTTATCAATCGATGAAGTGTTAAATATAAAAGTGTAGTGTGTGCTAGGATTAGTTTTTTGTTGCTCTCGAAAGTTTGACGTCGATCTTTGTCCCGTCTGTACAAAGCTGAACGCTGCTTAACTGGCAGAGCAGTGCCAACACGCCCCTTCCCATTATCCGTTACTACCCCTTGGAAGTCCGTAGCTAGTACTGGCGTTATGTTTCGTTAATCTATCCCCGAAACAACGCTGCTACGGTCTTGGCACCGCTGCCAGCGGAAATCGTTTTAAATGTTATGCCGAGAGATGCGCCCCCGGCTTCGTTGAGTTATGACTTTATGAAGAGACCCGAACGCACCGTTCCGGCCGCGCGTTTCCGCATGCGTACGGTTCTATCTTCTTCCTTTTGTATCATTTTATTTTAGAGATGAGAAAAAAAAACAGCCTATAGTACCCGTTATTCAAAACTTTTGTCAGTCATTTATTCCAAAGCTTTTTTTTGTTCCTTATGCATTTTAATGAATGATAGTGGTAGTATCATTAAATCACTGACGGACTAAACTATTTTTTACATTTTCTACCTGGTTTTACACTTGGTCGTTCCAAGTGTTGCGTGAGCTTCTTAATGAAGCCGATTAGTTTGAATTTTCAGCTTGCTGCCATTGTATTTCGCCAGCGTAATGATGATCTACATTCACCGGTCCTCGCACGTTTCTCTGCTCTACCTATGCGCGTAATGCTCGATGGTCAACCCTTTTTGCGGCTCAGCCTGGTGTAATGACAAAATGTAAATTACTACGGGAACGCGTATAATCGAGCATTATCGCGTCCGATTTATGCGACCCTTTATCAAAATCCTCATATAAAAGGAATTTGTTGTAGGACCGATATTCGCTCAACCCAGCCAGACTTTCAGCTTGATGCATTTGGGATGTGTCCTGTATTACGGTTATACGCCATCAATTTTCCGTTTATGATACCACGCAGAAGAGACTTTTTGAAACATCGTTATTGACCAATGAATCATCCACAACAATTTCTTCATATGATTCACTTTTTCTCTAACTGTTATCGCAATTCTACATTTTTCAACATTCTTATCAATGAAATGTTCATTAATCAAACTTTCATTTTTTCCTTTTTTCCTTTTTTCATCCTAAATATTTTCATTTAATAAAGCAACCAAAGATCAGACATTTTATGACGAAGCAAATCCAATAGGCTATGGTTTAGTGACTTTACACCACCGAGTTACTATGAAACAATGACGTCGATACGACGAGAACGCATTAAAGGTTTCATTTTAGTAGCGATTAAATGAGGCCTATCGTAGGCACCTTTACGAGCCTGTTTATTCGTCGATTGGCTAGATCAAAGTACTCATATCTGGACACACCTGAGGCCATAACTCCGGCCAAGCAGTCGAGTCTTCATAAACACGGATCTCAAGGCGAACTCCCGCCAACTCCGTTAAACAAGCAATAACAATTGTGCTACGTTGGTTGGTCAGCTTGCCTTCTATATTTAAACTTACTTTCTGAGTTGCTTTGCACGTGTTCAATTGTGTATTTCCTTTCTCTTTCTTTCATTTTTTAAATAAAAAACAAGCATATTTTATAAAAATAGATAAATTTAATTTTAGGATATTGATTTAATTACATGTTAAAAAACTGTTTGCTATGAGACGTGTTCATTTGAATAGATATTTTGTTACCGTAAATTAGATTTAAGTAAAACAGATAGCAAAGCAGTTGGAAACTCGAGGATTCTCGATTGGATACTATCGACTAACCAGAATGATATACTCGTAGGTTGTTGATAACGATCCAGGAGAGAGAGAGAGAGAGAGAGAGATAGAATGTGGATCGACGTTCAATAAACTACGCAATGGCGTGATCAGTAGGATCAGTAGGAGACACTACCGTGAACGATCCTTATCCATATCAGGATAGATTCGCTCGAAGGGTTTGATTGAACATTCGCGTGCAGGACGGTGGTCATCAACGTGATTATAACTTTCTCAATCTTTCTTCGTGTTCTCTTCTTTGGAAAATGATTGAGAAAGCTTAGCGAGAAGAAAATTGGATTTTTATTTAGCTAACTTCTCTCTGCACGCTCGATCTCGTTCAACTCCTCGATGATGAACGAAATTTCTAGATAGAAAAAGGGCCCCAAAAGTATATATATATAACTCTTTTTTCTTTTTTGTGGATATAATTTTTATCATACGTTGCGTGACACGATATTCTTCTTATCATTCGATCCAACAAGTATCTTTTTCTTTCTTTTCTTTTCTTTTTCTTTTTCTTTTTTCTAATCTTCTACATAACTGCGAGTTCTCGTTGGTAACATTTTGGTTCGATAAAGCTTTCCAAATTTAATTCATGTTTATTTACCTTGCCTCGGATATCCCGGCGGCCTTCTGCCTTAGCTGCGAGATGTTGATCTAGTCGGCCCCCTAACATTAACAGATCGCCAGATGTTACTACAGGATCGTCCATATTTGCCGTGTGACACGGGACTTGATGTACGCGTTAGAGTTCGTACATTCGTTCGGAGAAGATATGCCGCTTGCTTGGAGAAATATCGATCAGCTTGTGTTATCGTTTAAAGAGTAATTCCCTAGGCAAACTATAAAGCTTATATTACATTTGGCTTAATGCGTTTAATGTGCCTTGTGCCTGTAATTTATTTTACATTTTATTGATAGCGTACCTGGAATAACGAGCTCCTCAAGTTAAACTTCCAACTCGCTTTAACGCGTTCCCTATCTCTGGCTTAAAGCTTTTACGTTGCAAATGATAATGTAAGCTCGCTTTCGAGTATATCATTATAATGTAACTTGTAAAAAGAGCCTTGCTAATGTCATTTTAATATACATCGGTATGAGATCGCTCGGACTGTTACGTTTTCATGATACGTCGTATTTATTGACAAAAGGGTAGACGAATTTTAAAGCACGCCTAGTATATGTTGACTTATACATGTTATCGAGCAAGTTTTAAACGAGTTACCAAAAAAAAGTACTGTCTGACATAGTAGAAATTTGCATAAGTCTAGCGATAATCGAACGTACGTAAATGTTGCAGAAAAATAGAAGGGTAGATGTAAAAAAGAAAAGAAAAAAAAACACACACACACGCACACACGACAGGTAAAAGAAAAGAAATAATATCGTGTTGGTGTCTGCACTTATTAAGCGGACATTCTTAGCGCACTACTCTAATGAAGTTTTTGCTCAAGAGCGTGCAATTATGCCACCCTCTCGAATCTGATGAAATTTAAGCGATTCGACATTCTCGCAGCATATAAATACTGAAATGAAAAGAAATCAAATAAAAGAAAAGAAAGAAAAGAAAAGAAAAGAAGAAAATAGAAAAAGAATGGAAACGTAAGTTTAGAAAAGGAGCGCTTATCAGTTGAGCTTTTCAACGTCGATGGCGTCGTTCCGTATAGGAGTTAACGACGACGGTTCGTTAAAGATAACGTCTACGGAAACTTATAATAGACGGTATAATATTAAGAAGAAGAAGCGGCCGCGATAGTGTCGTGAAACAATTACGAGAAAGTTTCGTCGTGTGTTTTCTCCTCTGCTCTCTTCGTAGCTACGACGAGAGTAGTAGGGAAGAAAAGATAGGAGGAGAGAAGAGGGTCGTGTCGTATTCGCGCAAGGCAAAGATACGAACGAACAGAAGAATAAGAAGAGAAGATGGAGGAGTCTAAAGGAGGG